AGAGTGCTAGAATTATAGGCACGAGCCTGGCCCAAGCTATATTCTTAAAAAGCTAATGTTTAAAAGAAAATATTTGAAATAGTATAGTACTTTTTGTTTGCTAATGACAGAATGTTAAACAATGTAAGTATTTATTAAAAATACATTGAGAAAAGGAATCAAGCAAATTAGAAAATATATACAAAAGATATCAATACAAATACATTTCTGTTGCAGTACCAATATCGTACTATGAATCACTGTTACCTTTCTTTAATGAATGCAATGCTGAAGTGAAGAAGGTCAAATAACCAGGAGGCTGGGGTGAGCCACTGAAATCAAAGTACCCGAGTACTCCAGGCTGTAGGAACAAGAGCAGAAGTAGGTAACTGAGGCACTGTCAGCCACTGTGTAGTGGAGGGTATTTTAAAACAAGACGTGACATTATTATGTGACAATTATTGCATTTTGTTGCATTTCATTTTTTTAAAAAAGCCTAACCACATGAGAAAAGTGCAGGTTGGGGCTGAACTTCCCCTCCATTTGGACAACCAACAGGGTAAGGGATGGAGTTGCAGCAGCTCTGACGGGATTGCACAGTGGTTATTCAGGGGCATTCAATGCTGAAACTTCCTCTTTCCCCCTAAGTAGGTCTTTCCACCCTCTGTTGACAGCACAATTCTCCCAGGCCCCTGGCTCAAAACCTCACCATCAAGTTCAGGCACTCATTCACTTTTGTTTAACTTCAGGCAAGCTATGTTAATAATTTCTTTGTAACCTCTCTCAGGTGTCTCCTTCAATGGCTTCCTGTCACTCACTCCAAACATACCTCCACACCTTGCTAAAAGTCAGCTTAAATCTGACTGGCTTCACCCGTGATCAAGCCCTTTCAAGGGGCTCCCTCCCCACCCCACAACCCAGAACCCACGGTCTGGTCAGTCTGCAGAGGACCCACCTCCTGCCCTCGGGCTCCCCTACACACCCACCCAAACTCATTTCCACCTGCTCATTTTCTTTCTCTAAGCTTAGCATAGAATGTCTCTTCATTCTGCCAAACCAGTTAAGGGTCCCCTACTGTACTGGAAGACAATTTTTCCACAGATGGGGGGAGACGGAGTGGAGCTTACAGGCCAGGGATCAGTACCAGCCCGTGGCCCGTAGCAGGGGTGTCGGGGACTGCAGCCCTACTGGATACATTCTGCCTTCCTGCTCACAATCATTTCTTCTTTCTTTGAAGGCCCTGTGGCACTCGTTCTGTCTGGTTTTGTTCTGTAATAATCGTATCTGTCTCAAAAGCCGAACTGTAAGATCCCTGAGGAAAGGGGGCGGGGCTTGGGGTCAGAAGACCTAAGCTCAAGTCCAGGTTCTACTGGCTGAATGAATAACATTGGCTGAAACCTTCAATATGCAGCCTCATTTTCCTGATGTGGCAAACAGGGACAATTCTTCATGGGGTTACTGTGAAGAACGAGCCTGATGAACTGCAAAGCACTAGGCAAATGGAAAGAATCCTTCTTTCCAGCCCTAAAGCTTGGCACCATGCTCTTAAATAAGTTAACTGTGGAAGCTGATCTGATCACTGGGATCTGATCAAATCGGATCCAAATGTTAAGG